CCCAATTTTAAATTACATATTTAACTTAACAACTGCCCTTCCCTGATAAATTATTTATATACATGTCATAAATAGCATGGTTATGTTAGATATTTTAACATGGCACACCTGTACATGCTTACATCAGCTAGTATTACATTTTTGAACTTTGTACAGCTGTCCCTGACTGATAAACAACTTGATCCTAGCACAGCTGTCCTTGAGTGATATGTAATGTTTACATTTCATGGATAGCATGGTTATATTACATATTTGAACTTGGCACCACTGTCCATGTATGATTAACAATTTGGACCTGTCACAGCTGCTCTCTAGTTATTAATCATTTGTACATTTCATAAACAGCATGATTATATTACATGTATGAACTTGGCACAACTGTCCTAGAATTATTAATAATTATCTGTATGTGCCATAAATAACATGACTATACTTGATATTTTGTTGCTTGAGAGGTTAAATTCTTTTATGAAATTAAATAACCAAAGATACTGAAGAGCAGAAAGTATTCTTTTCCTGTTATTATTATTTTTTACTCTGTGCAAATATTAGGAAATATAAAGATAAGACAATCAGCTGTTTTTCATTAAAAGAAGTTTAGCATTTTGGAATGACACTATGCAAATACTAAATAATTAGTTTGAAAATACAATTCAGTATTTTTTAACTTCTTTGTTTGTGGCCTGTGTGAACTTTTAGCCCAGGCAGAACAACTAGAAGAGACCAGCAAAACGTTACTTCTAGAACTTGTTGGGGAGCTGCGACAGCTCAGATCAGCTTTGGCAAAAAGCACTCAAGTGAATAGTAAGCTACATCGACGAATCAAACAGTATTCAAGTAAAAAAGAAGGGACTAATTCCAGTAAGAAAAATTATCAACTTATCCAAGTGTTGAATATAAACTTTTAAAAAGGGTTGAAGAGTGATACTTGGAATCATTATCCTATATTTTGAAATCTGTTAATCAAACTTTCTGAATACAAACCATTAAGCACTTTGTAACTCCAAGGATAAGTTTTTAATTTATTTAAGAACAGTTATAAATTTGAATCAAACAGTAAATATGATTTTCATAGGCCTACAAATAAAATGCTTATAATTGATTATAATCATGCTTTGCCAGCAAAAGCCATACACACCATAATGAAAATGCTTGTAATTTTTTGCAATATTTAAAAGGTTTCCTTTGTCTTTTTTTATGGGAAGGCGAGGCTAAAATATTAACTTTATCAATCCTGGATGCATCGATTCAACACACCTGTTGTATGGTTTATTATATTGCATTGCAAAAAAAAAGATAACTACTGAATGAAGTAGTTTGAAACAAAACTTCAAATGAACCATTTACAGATTGTGTAGTTGTGGCAAATAAAATATTTTTATATATATGGAAAATATTTCATTGAGATATATTTTTTGAGAAACACTTGAAAATGCTTACCATTGTTGTAGATTGTAATTACTAATTATTATGTGTTTTTACATTCTTGTAAAACATTTGTATAAAGATTATATTTTATCAAACCCTAAATTTTACCTTAATTTACCTGTAAAATTATAAGCAAGCCAACTTTTCCCTCTCTTTTAAAAATTCCAAATTAGAAGGTTTAATTTGTGTAATAAGTTTTAAAGTCATTGTACATTTATTTTCAGTGATTTTCTATGTCCATTGAAACACAATGGCTTTGTCATTGATGTGAAACTTGATATGGCTGAGAGCAAGATGATCATCTAACTAAGTGTACTTCATCTTGCTCCACAAAAAACATCTTCCTTCCATACTGCAACATCATAATTGAAATGAAGTACAAAATGACGTTGCAATCTTCAAACGAGGGAATTCTCAGTAGCCGTAGCACTTGAAATCCTCATAGGCGGGATTAGAGTAAATTAATCCACGAGACCCTTTTTTTTTTTAATTGTGCACCAGCAATACCAAGCTTCGGGTGCGCTTATACCAATTTAATTTTATTACTCAGCAGGATCTTTATCAGTGTACCCTCAAATTGAAATTCTTTTAGGCAGGATTAGGGTAAATTAGTATATGAAACCTTGGATGTGGTCAAATACATCAGTCGAAAGAGTTTGGCCTCCTGAGTTCAAAACTGTAATTAGATCTCAAATTGGTCAAGAGGTGAAGGAGCTATGAGCTAGAAGTTTGTACTTGAAGAACAAAATTGAGCCATTCTATAAGCCATTATGCCATGGCTAAAAATCAATCAGAAATGTAATTGTAGTGGAAGTTTTTCACAAACATCTTTTCTTCTAGCAACATATCACCAAGCTGAGCTTTTATCAGTTTCTTTCATCCTCTGCGTATGATTCTCGACTGAACTGGAAGCCATTTTAGCTTATACAGAAACAGAGGTTTCATCACGTGTTTGATCACGAGCCTAAAAATCTAAAAATTTACAAACACTGATGTGTTTCTTTGGAACTTTTCTGAAATCAACCCAAAATTGAAAGTTGTGATTTCTTTTCTTTACTGTATAAAATTAAATATGTACAACCTTTTCTTTATTAAATAAATTTCAACTCTAAGTTTTTATCGTTCAGTGTGTCCAAGAAGGAGTACAATTATATATTTTCTATAGTTTATTAAGCTCAGCATTGCAATTTTGCCAACAGGGCAGATGCACCTATCCAGACATGATAGAGTTAATCCAATTTGCAAGTCCACTTCTTATGTACTGAGTAAAAGTGTCTTCTAGTGTTTGTGAGGATATGTTTCTACTGTGTTTTTAAAGGAGACTCATTTATGAATATAAAGACAACTGTTTATATTAAAAGTTTATAATACAATGACTACAGTTGAACTGTTTATTTACTTAGTTAAATCCATTAGATTTATAATTGATATTAAGATATAAAAGGCAGCACTGTATCTGAGATTTATCGGTAATATTCAGTATTTTGTTTTATTTGAAAACTCCATTATTTTTTAGACAAAATACTTTGAGTAAATATGTATATTTAGAATCAGTTTGTATTACAGTTTTTAGATTTTCTTTGTTCAGAACTTAATTCTTCACCAGAGGACAACAGCAGCTCAAATTCTTTGAACCTCTGTATCCAAATATCCTGTTCATCATAACTGTGTAACTCGGCACTGATAAAAATTTCTGGTATTCGCTATGGAAAAGCAGATATCAAAATCATTTAAATTACTGAACTAGTAACAATACATATAAAATCATACTGTTTACCTTAGCTGTGGGTTGCTAGTAAAAAAGAAACCGGTGGAAGGAAGAATGCCATTACTTCCTGATCATTTATGAAGTGTTAATATTTTGCTCCTAGTGTAATACTCAAACAGTTTAATAGATACCATGAAAGTTTCATAATTACTACTCATGGAATGATGTATTAAAGCAAGTTACTTTCAAGTAACAGTTGGTTTCAGTATTTCTCTTTAACAGCTACTATTCTTCAAAATGCTGGTGATTAAATAAGATGAAATAAATAGCATGATGAGGCTGTGCTGCTAATTACAGTTTACAATAGTTTATGTGAACATCACAGTATCACTACTGTTTCATATATATGGTTTAAGTTGGTTTCCGTTTATTGACCAAATAGAAAAAATTTATATTTTATATCTTCACAACTGACCCTGAAGACCCTATGTGACTTACTGTCATAGTAATAATGTTGTACCTCAATAGTTCTAAATAGTTAAAGCTTTGTCTACTATTCAGTATACATTTTTAATGATTCTTATTATATGATCTTTACAGAGCTACACAGTGAGAATACTGTCTCTCCTGTAAGCAGTTTGTCTCTTGCAAGTAGTGGTAATTTTCCAATTGCTAACATCCAGCCAGGAGATTTGGGCAAAAGCAGTCCTTCAGAGTCTGTGTATTCTCTGAGAGGAGTTCCTTCTTATCTTCATCATAGTGAAGTTCAACATGATTCAGTTAACTTGACACAATCAACCTGCAAGAATGAAATTGAAGATAACAAATTTATAGCCATGAAACAGAAATCTACCAGAAATGTATCACGTGCAAGTTCCCTTCCAAATGGTCATATAAACACAGAGGTAAACAGTTCAGATGGATCTATCCATCGTAGTGTATTCAGGCATGTTCCTCAACAGCTGTCAAGTGGTAGTGCTGACACAGAGACACCTCTAGATACAGTATTGTCAAGTGATGCAATTCAACCACATCTGATAGATCAGAACAAAAGAATCTCATCAGATCGGTCTTCACGTCAGTCCAGTGGTGAAAAAGAAGGATTTCGACATGGTTCTAATGGAACTGAAACACCTGCCAGTGGAAGACCTTGCTACTCCTCACCTGATCTTGGTATTGAATCAGACCCAAACCGTGAAGGTGGGGACTTGGCAATCAGAGAAGGACAGGAAACTACCACATGGAATCAACTTGCTGACCCTAAATGGTCTGTATCATCCAGCCACTCAGCACTAGACTCTGTAGGAATAAATAACAAGACAAATGGAAGTTTAAGTAGGTTACATAAAACATTTGCTGGAGAACAACTTCCACAAGATATGATAGGTAAAGCATACGATGCAATTTTTGTTGTTTGTGTAAGATTACTAGGTGTATGTTATTCTGACAATTGTTTTTAAACAATAATACTTAAAAGTCGTGAGTGAGGCCTTTTGTAAAATGTACCATTTGTTTTTTATAGAAAATTTACAAATTATGAAGGAATTTTATTAGTTTGTTTGTTATGAATGAAATTGGAAGGTTTCTTGTATTTTATTCTTAAAGTATGGATTTTCAGAAAACATTGGGAGTTGCTAGAGGGTGTTTTGTACTTTAGAAAACTATTAGATTAAATAATGTTATTTGAAACCTTAGAACACTATTATGTTGAATAGTCTGGAAGTTGGTTCACTTTGCTTATGCGTGTGACATACTTATGTGTACAAGTACTTACAAGAAATGGTTTTATTTGAAAAATATTGAAGTCTGATTTCTACTGCTGTTTTATAACTGTTTGAAGTTAAGTATACTATCTTAGTACAGTAGGCATTATATGGATGTTACATACAGACAGGGTTTACATGGGTCCAGGGAAGTCATTGAAATGAGCTCTAAAATTTTCTATACTATAAATCATGAAAAAAAACAAATGTTATTAATTCAAGGTCCTGAAATTTCAGTTTCAATAAAAAATTCCTCATGAAGTAATCAGTTTAATTAAAACATATTAAACAAACAAACAATGTTCATAAACTAAGTATCTAAAAAATAGGATTAATAAAAGAACACTTCATTTCACCACTGTAAATGTGGCATCATCTTGTACATTCAACAACAGAACAACAACATGTTTATTTACACCTACTGGTGATATCATGATACCACCTTGACCTTGAAATATTTATATAAACCTACAGATTTCACTTTATTTTAATAGGATTTTTGGGTTACTTACAATAACTTCTTTTACATTCATTAACATGGAATCACGGCAGGTATTGTTTATGCATTTATTTTCACTGTAATGTTGTGTATCTTTATAATGTTAATACACATGTGATAGAGCATGTCCTTCTTCCTTTTGTTCTCGATTGTAAACTCTTCCCAGTCTCACCCTTTCTAAATAATATTACAATCCATACATTCTGTAATATAAACAATATTTTCTTCAACTACAGCTGGTTTAATTCTGTTATCATAAAAAATAATCTAATTTGGCTTTTCTTTGTGGTAAGAATATAAATTTACCCATGATGAAAAGTTTGTATACTTTTTCTGTGCCTTACCATATTATATATTTTTTTTATCTTGGCTGATAAATCAGATATGTGGAATGACACACTAAATCAAGTTTTGAAATTCATTTTTTTTCTCATAAACCTTAGTGGTAATTAAACAGTTTTAACAACTTAAGTGGGAAAAATCATTCCCTTTTACCAGTACACTTTCCAAATAATCTGTCTTTTAATTATAAATAACCTTGACTGTGGCCAATAAAGTTTTCATAACTCCTATTTTTTGTCAGAGTTGTGAAGATACCAAGTCCAGTTAAGATAAGAATTGGTATAAGTTTATTTCTAAATACTTTTCTTTTGAAAGTGGTATTTACTTTGTAACCCTTACATTAAGAAAATATAATTCTTTCCCCTTCTCATTCTAATTAATAAATTGAATGTTCAGGTGTAATGAATATTAAAATATTAGGAACTGTTCAGTCATTGGTCCGGAAACAAAGTCCTAAATTCATTGAACTTTTGATTTTATAAACAAGTATTTCTAAGAATTTACAAATGAGACCAAAAAAGAATACGTAATAATATACCAACCACACTATATGCCACATCCTGTGCCATTGAGGTCTTTCAGCTAATACTAGAGTTTATCAAGCCAGCTGATATATGACATAGTAGTGGTGAAGGTCTTATTCATATCATGAACAACAACTGTTATGGTGAATGAGATTAAGTGAAGTGTACTTATTATCAATTTTTATTAAAGTAATTTACAAACATCAATTTTATAGTAAGGATTAATAATACATTATTATTTATTTATTTGTAATGCCAAGTATTATTATTATTTCTACTTAAATTAACTTTACCATCACTCAAATAGTCTTCTTGTGTTTATGAAAATGTTAGCCAGAATGGGTGCTAAAGAACCACTCATACTTATTCCCTCAACATGATCATAAAGAAACATCATTAAATTGAAATGCAATTTGCATATTTGAAAAAAAGATTAAGCATTTGTTGTAATAGAAAGAGAGAAAATAGTGTTTTTGTCATTCATCCATCCTTCTTTAGATAGAAAGAGCACAATCAACTGATTCCATTGAGTGGCATTTGTGTGAACAAAGACAACATCAGTAGTAACCAAAAAACTTTTGAGGATTAAATGTATTCAGTAGGTTAATTAAAATGTTCTTTATTTTCTGAAACACACACTCCCTCTAATGCATAAAGTTCAAACATCCAAGCTAAAATTTACCAAAGTTATAACTGAAAACTCCTCTGGTTGAAATAATACATTTTATAGGTAGATCATGTTTATGTATGTTTGGCACCCATAGTTATATGGTGTTTTATTATCACTTGACCTTAAAAATTGGTGAAGATAATCATTTAATAGGTTTTGTTTCTTTAAGTCCAATAATAACTGGTTCAGTTTTCTTTCTCCACCTGTAAAGGTTATAATATTCTTGATCAGTCAGTAACCATCATGTTAATGTGATAATCACAATAATCCATTACAACAACATTACCTTTGTCAGCTTTCAAAAAGACAAGGTCTTTATTGTTTCTTAATTGTTCTAAAGCTTCAATTTCACCTTTTGCCAAATTAGGTTTTAAACAGTTTTATTTATTCACCTGTCTACTTACTTTATCATAAAAAATCATTTGGTAAGTTTGATAAAAAGTCAAGGCTGTATTTATGATATCACCAATAGGTGTATATTAAAAGGTTACGGTTGTATCTGTAAGTATGACATCACCAGTTGTTGTGTAATGTACATTAATAGTGTAGGAGATGTAGTTTGTTTGTTTTTAATAGTCTCATTCTTAGCTATTTATGCTTTTTTATCCTTTGAGTATATAGGATATCTCTTTAACAAACAAACAGAGAACTTTGTTTATCAGAATTAGGTTTGTTGGTTGTGAATTTCACACCTTATTAGACCCAATACTTTTTTTTTTTTGTTGTTGGTGAGCATGTATTATGAGGGGAAATACAAGTTTAAACCTGTATGGTACAATTATAGTCGAAGAAATTTGAGTATGGTCAATGGAAGTTCTGAAATTGTCTCCATGAACCCTGATAGAAAAAATCATAATTTATATTAACACGCAAAAATAATAATTATACTAATGTGATTATATTAACACTAAATGGAAGAACAGATGTCACTTTCAACCAAACAGTTTTAGTTCAAGATGTTGACAATTTCTTAGCATATTCAAGTCTTTCATCTTTTTATGATTACAGTTTCTGTGCATAATGTTTATTATTTTGTTCTTGTGCTTCCTTTAAAACTTATAAGCAATTTCTTGTTTTCATAAGAATGTTATTAAGGTGTGAGGGCTTCTTGATATCAGTAGGAGTAATGATATTAAATGTGTATGTGCTCCTACTGTGCATAGATACATAAAGCCACAGACGTAACATGCATCTTTTGATGCAATGTCTTTGTAGTAGTTTTATGACTCATTCTGCTGTAGTTTTATGATTTGTTGTTCCCATTGGTTTTCTTAGGTCTAACTGGCCGTGATTTCTCAGTTTCAACTCCAGAACTTTGTGATGCTATGCTTCATGCTGTGTGCTGGTTGAAGGATTATGAGTTATTGAAAAAGGAAATAGGAGAGAGTCTTGTCTTACTGAGAGGTGTGGAGGCTCGTGTCAAAAATAGACTAAATTCCATTAGTGTGCGAAACACTAGTGCAGACAAAGTGAGTTTAGGAAACTGATACTACAAATACCACTTATAAGCAAAATCTTACATTTTTCTTTGGTGACACTTTATTGGATTAGAATTTTTTTTTTAGATAAGTACAATTTTGTGAAAAAAAATGTAAATATATAAAGAAAAGAAAATTAATATTGTAAATAAACAAAATTTGTACCAAAATATGCTGTTTTTCAGTTTTGAAGGTAATGTTTTTATTACTATAGCTATGTTAGTCAAGTTTTAATTAAATATCATGCAAAGATATTTTCTAGTTTTATTTTACAATGTAGTACGTTTAAAATGGCTGCATGGTGAACTAAGAAATGTAATAATGTGTTGATTTTCTCATAACATTTTTTTTTTTACTTTCAGAGTTTAGAATATAGCACAATGAAAGAGATTAATACAAACTGTGTATATCTTGGCGGTTGTCTGGAGAAGTCTTGGGATATTATTGCTTGTTTTTGGGTGACATCTGTTCCTCTCAAAAAAGCTGTATCATCAACATCACTCAGTCCTTTGATCATAGAGGTAATCAAGTACTTTTTTTAATAATTTATAGAAGAAATGAGATAATTAACCACACAACTGGGACTCGGTCATCATTCTAGTACATTTTATTATTTAAGCATGTAAAAAGTATAACACTTGATTTATGGTGAAAATGGCTATAGAAAATTGTAAAGTATCCATCAGAGAGCACAACAATGCAAAATATTTTAAAGAGATTTAGCTTTTAAAACCTATAAATGAAGGTTGTAATTTGTCAGTTTGAAAGAGTTCTGTAAAAATCTGTTTTTGATTCATAGGTGGTACCAGAGATGCCTAACATGTAGGACAGAAGGGTCATGTGCAACCCACATACACACACACACACACACACACACCCACTATTACCACTACTAGGTTTGCAGTTTGGTTTTGAAAAATTGAAGTGAAATGACGACATTTTAAACAGAATTCCACATTGGGGAATTGTTTGATGTGTAATCATGTATTTATTCTAAGCTGGATATCATATTGTGTGTGTGTGTTTGGATAAGTCAAGTGATCTGATGTATTGAAATGATTTTCTTTATTAATTTCAAATTAAATATTCTTTTAATAATGGGATAGAACTGCTCTTTTTTCCCCTTAATCCTTGTAATAAAAAGTTTTTCCTCTCCAGAATCAGAAACTTCGAGATGAGCTGTTTGAAGTAAGAAATCAGCTTTCTTCACAACATAAACAGTTAGAAGAAGCTATGCACAAGCTATCTGTAAGTAACTTGAACAAAGAACTAGTGAATCTGCCCCCAATATATGTGCTTTTTAAATTATTTTGTTATTGTAACTACAATTAATGTATGTGATATCTTTTACCAATCAATTTTATAAATTTTACAAATGATTGGATGTTTGTAATTTATGATTACACTTATTTATACACGTTTGTTTAAAAGATAAACTTAAAATCAACATAGTGTTACGACAGCAGAAGTCACGGGACGCTGGTGGCACATGATGAATTTCTCGAATGATCGGGGAGGCCCAAGTATGTTCGGGATGCCCCCTTCGTTGGTATATAAGCCTGGCAGAGAAGCCAGCAATAGATAGTTATAGATAGATAATTAAAGAAGGGAACGGTGGTGACGGTAAGTAAAGTGTGTGAATCACTGTGATTTATAGCATGTATTATAAAAGTTGTTAAGTTTATAGTGACAAGAAACATATTGACTGTGGAATTACCGTGTACTAAATGTTTGTATCGCTGAAGTTCCTCGGAAAGAATTTCTACCGGAAATTAATAACAAGCAGATACGCAACAATATTTTAAAACTACTTGGGGAAAAGTCTCAAATTGTTTTGTGAAACTGTTTGGAAAAATTAGTATTAATTTGTTTGACATACATCAGCATATTTCTTTTGATATTTTATTTTGAGGATTGAAGCAGTCAACTTTCTGCTGTAAATCATGCAAATACAGTATGATTGAGAAAAGTGTTTGGTGAACATTGACTTCACTGTTTAAAAAATGGCAACACCCATTACCTTTTAGGTGCTGTAGCATGATAATTTGCCAGCTATGTTTTTGTTTTTAGTAATTTAGTTCTTGCATTTATTTGTGTTGTTTTAATAAAATAAATGTAACAATATAGTTAATGAAAAGAACTGTGTTACCTGAATAGTTTACCATATCAGGCCTTAACTGTATTCACTAAGCCTTACCTAATGTTAAATTATTGAAGAATATTCCTGTAGCTTTCAAACAGATATAATATAACAACAATAAAAAAAAACTCAACATTATTCAAAATGTCCAAGCACAAGCTTACCATTTTCTAAAACACAGTCAGTTTTCATGACATTGTTATATTCTCAATTACAGGGTGTTAAAGCTTAAGTATCTGATGATACTAACTTTAATTTGTATTCCTTCTTTTAAAGCTAAGAAAAATTTGAAATTCTAAACACCTCCAATAGTTGTATTAAAAATGTGAATAAATAAATTCATTGTACTAAGCCTCAAGCTAACCAAAAATGAACCTGTACTTGTGTAGTATTTGGAGTTTCCTTCATAATCACCCTGTGTGTTACTTTATTAGTGAACATTTTTTATGTTGATTGTATATATATTTGTATGTATTTGAAAAAGAAACTGGATTTATGATTATGTTTGTTTTTTAAAATTGTAGGAGAAAACCTTTGTAAGTTATCAAAGTCATAGATTGAAATACATTTGTGATGTCCAAGCAGAGAATTTACTGCTGTAGAGATTTAAAATTTCATAAGTACAAGCTGAAAAACTAAACTTTACTTTTTCGAAATATGACTTCAAGAAGAAGTAAACATAAATAAATGTGACAGTAAAATTTTCCATATGGCATATTCCACTTCCAGAAGAACTTATTAAATGTTGTTGTTTTTTACATATGACTGTGTTGCAATTTCTTGATAAACTATTAATTTTCCACTATTATACAAGTGTAGATTTCAGTTAACTATTGTTTCCATTATTATCTTTTTATGAAGCAGATTACAGAAATCTCAAGTTTTGTTAACAAACTCGTTTCTCCTTTCAGTTATAGATAACATACATCACTTTATTACTATGTTCTCAACAAACTCTTTTTCTGTTAAAGTTGCATTACAACTTACATTGTGCTTTGCATTGTTTTCAAAAGTTGAAGTTGTGTAACCAAGTTAAAGACATCAATTAATCACAATTAGCACTATCTGAGAAATATCAAGTGGCTATGCCTCATTATGCTAAGAATCATTGTTTGTTGTAAAATGACATGCATAAAAATAATTTTTAGCATATGGCACAATAATCACTTCTTGAAAACATACTATGCTGTGTAACAGCTTAGTTAGAAAATACTCATACCTTCATATGCTGAAAAGAAAAAATGCTTTTTAAATCTAGGATACTGAATTCAACTCCCACAGTCTAGCAGCTTTCATTCACATATAAAAAATATTAGTAAAATTTGACTATCAATACATCGTTAATAAAAGTAAGCAATATATTCTTCTGAAAGATAGTGTCGGTGGTGGATGACCAAAGATCACACGATACAATAGTTAATAAAACTAGGAACCCTAACAAAATCAAACCTTCTCCCTTCATGTCTTTAAATGTTAAAGATTCTTACTGTACTAATGCTCAAACATCACAGAAGGATAATCACAATTACAATCTTTTAGTTGTTGAATTTAATCTATAATGAAAGGCAGTAATAAAACATTCATTGAAGTTTTCAAAATTTGTTAAAAAACATTCCCATTGGTACAAGTAAATTTCTAGATTCCAAGGCTCAAAAGCATTACTTGAGAATTTGTTCCATTAATGATGCATAATCCTCACGGTGGAGCAATTTTATGATGTATATGTCAAGTGGTGAAGAAATTTTAAGTAATAACAGTATGAAATACAGAAAAGTAATTGTTCTTTATGTTCCCAAGGTTCCATAGTGTCCTTGGAACTACTTTTTTTTTTTTTTGTCAATCTGATGGCCACAGTTATTAATTTACTCCTGATAAAACATTTACAGTCTTTTTATATCCCAGCAGCTACATCTAATAGTGGTGGCATTCTACATTGAACTGTTGTTAATTTACCATGTAACAAACATGTACTTGTTTAACTTGTCACGGTGCTACCAATGCATTATGCAGCTCTTTCTTTCAAAGTGGTTATTATTAATAGGTTCTCCCATATTAAAATGCCATATTGTGAGTCAATGATGTAAGAACCATTATTGTTAGACAATATGTTTGGTTTGCATTGACTGGTTTGAACTGGAAACTTGGAAAATAAGTTATAGTTTCACTATTTTGGGTTAACATGATGTCAGTTTTAATTAAGCAAATAATGTTTTGTGAAAACATCAACCATTAGTTCTACAATTAATGATATGGTATTTAAAATTTCATTACATTTGCTTTAAATTTTTTCACAATAAATGTAAAACTGAGAAATTGTTAATTTTATGTGAAATTAAAAAGTAAGGTTGTCTTTTTTTACCTTGCAGTCTGTTAAATTTAGAAAAGAGGGAATGGAGAAAGCCATTACTAAGCAATGTATGTATTATCTAACTTCCCATTTTTCAGTATGTTATTTTATGTCTTGTAAACTAAAGTTTAGAATGATGCAAGAAAGTTTAGCAATTCTGTTTGACTTTTAACACTAGAAAAATAACTAGCTTTTATTATACTCTGACATGTCACATAGTACATATTATAATAACTGTAAAGGGGCCATTTGATTTTGATGTATACATTAAAGTTAAAAACCAAATACATAACAATTGAGACTGAACATGGGTTAATAGAAACAAAATACACAAGGTTTTCACACAAATTAATATTTTTCCTAAGTTTCTGTTAGAAGTAAACTGATAATTTGGATTTTATTTTATTTTATACTGTCCATGTAGAGAATCAACAAACAGTATTTAACTCATTTACATAAAGTTTTTTGATTTTATTTGTTGTTAATTAAAAATGAATATAATTAAGTCTCAAATATTTTGTTTCTCCTTAAATGTTAATAGTGATTAGATATTTATTTTTTGAACTCAACTAATTTAGGCAAGTAATACATTTTTTCAGTAACTAAGACAAGACGTGTTCTTCAACAAGCTAAAGGCAACCTAGCAGATGGGAAAAAACAAGAAAAACCAACCAAACGTCCTGTAGCAGTTGTTCGGTACAGTAAAGGTGAAAGTGAAAATCTTCCAGAAAATAGAAGCAGGGTGTAAGGTGATGAAGTTTCCTGGATGGAAAAATGTTCTAGGAAAGAACTAAAAATAAACACAGGAAATAGTAGTATTTTTTTTTCCCATTTGTTATGGATACATATAAATGTTACTGCATAATTGGAAATATACCCGTTGTTGTACATATACTGCCTGCTCTTTTCTTTCCTTAGAACCTTATTCTTCCTATATCAGGTTGGAAAATGAATTCTTATTTGAAAAACCTTCAGCCTGATGTTAAAGAATTGTGTGGGTAGCTGTTATACCCATTGTTGACATAAAACAAATATTAGTTAGTACTTTACTAGACTATCCTTTGATTGACAACATAACTAATTGTGAACCAAAACAAATTTTTTAAGCAAGTGCTGAAATACAAAAGAATTATTGGATAATTTTGTATATTTTAAGCTTAAACATAGTTACAAGTGTGGTGAAACCACAGGTTCAAATTTTGTAAAAATATTTTTCCCAAATTTTAATTTAGAAGATCAAAGAATAATCCCTCCACTGAGACAAAGTGCCAACACCTTAAAAACTTCTTCATATGTGAAGGACAGGTTGTTTACACTATCTTAATAAATCATTGTTAAAATAAATGATTGGTAAAGATTGAAATGATATCAAACCTTTCTCTGTTACGGGTGATTATTACTTTCCATACAAGGTATGAAATGTGTGAATATTTTTGGATTGAGGCCTTCAGAAAGAAAAAGTTATTGTATGAACAGGCCCATATGTACAATATATGTATTTTTCTGTAATTGTTATATCAGAGAATGTGGTAACTAATGATTGTACATTATGCATGAATGTTTGTAAAAGTTGAATTGTACATTGCTAAAATATGTAGTAATGGAAAGCTGGAAGTTTCACTTTAAAAACCAAGGTTGTGATCTGAATTAAAACCTTTGGTCAAAGCTCTGTTTTATATTTTAGTGGATGATACTCGAAGCTAATCATCAAAAAAAGGTTTAATATGATAACATACTTCATGTTTTGTGTGTGTGTAATAAATATTCAAAGTAATTTGGGCAAAAAATTACTATTTTACATCATCTTACAATCAATATTCATAACTTATCCTTTTAGAGCACTTCATAAGAGACAGGCCAGACGTCAATATGGCAATGAATAACAACCTAACCTACTAAGACAACATTGTATACACAAGTATTAATAACTTCCATATGAAATCTAAGTGGATTGTGCAAATAAATTCCATACATTTTGTGATACATCTAATCTAAAAGTAACCTAAAAACAGTAGTGTGTTTGTGTGTGTGTTAAAATGCAAGAAAGACAGATGGCATATCAAATAAAATGGAAGAAAATAATTGTAATTGTCTGCTATTTAGTATTTATTTGTATAAAAAAAACCTTTAAACATGATGGTTAAGAAGTGTGCTATGTCATGTTGATCTTCAGCCTGTATATACAAAGACAAGAAATGTAGTACAGAATTCATGTGCTTCTGAAGCAACAACAGAGAATCTAGTGGTGACCTTTGACACCACTTAAAAAACATACTAATTCTTCCAGAATAAAATGCTATGAAAAAAAAAGCCAGTTTTACCATTAAGCAAAACGAAGCTGAAAGTGAATGTAGTGAAATAAAGAGAGCATTTACTGTAAGACTTTCAGATTCTTCTGTGTAATCTTGATTTATTTTCAAAGTTGTTTATTCTAAAACACAAATCAACATCACCAGTTTGTATATTTTGGATATAAAACACTGTAAAAATGGACAATTTAAAAGAAAATACAAACATCTGATTAAAAAACAATATTCATTAATAAATAACATTGTGATTAAACAAGTATATATTCCATTATTTTGCAAATGTTAAATTTCAGTTTGATAACAGCAAATATACTACACTTATGGATGAGATCATACAGAAATTATGGAATTTTACAAAATAAAATTAGCCTTTCACCCCAGAAGTATGGCAGTTCTTGTTTACACACATGAAGAATAAATTTAGATGGGGATACTTCAAAGGTTTGTTTTAAAAGTGTGTGGCTTAAATATGATACTATCACCTAGTGAGTGTCCAAAATACTAAAATTATAATAAAACCGTTACTATGGTATATCTGGATCATTTCTGAATACATTTTTTTCTTGTCTATATATATATATATATATATATATTTCATTTATAGTGTAAGAACTACAAGAAGCAGATAAAGGGTTTAACTATCAATAATTAAAATATGTAGAATTTTAATACAAATTATTAGAAAAAAATCTAAAATATTCACTATAACATGACTAATTTTTAAATAACTACAGGATAAATATAGAGAGCAAAAATAATTTATGAAAGACCATTGGTTTACAAACTAAACTTTGTTAAATGCATACTTCATTCAAAAAATTGGGGAATTTTAAAGTACAAATGACACTATCACACTTCACTGGTGAATAAAGTTATTGCTTTGTATTAAACAAATGCATGTTGACTAAAAACTGATTTGACTTTATTGTATTACAATTTCATACAATGGAAGAACTTTTTGTACCTGTATTTCAACATTCCTTCCATATCATCAAATTTATTTGCCATTTGCATGCGATATTAGGTTTTTTTTAAATCTTTACAAGTATACATACAGCCATAGAAAACTTCAACTTTTGAATGTGAAGACTTGGAAGTTGTATGCAATCTTTTATAGCTGAATTTTTGAAGTAAACCAATAAGAAATATGTTACATGAGGTATCGTCTATTTCCACTTCATGCTTAACCATGCATTCTCCACTTTCACTTAATGGTGTTTCCTTCATGGTTTCAATTGCTAAATGTAGTCAGTAATGAAACATGATGGTCTACTTACAAAATCCAAACAATAGTTCATTTTCTCAACATGGAAATTCCCAATATATAAACATTATAGTCACAGTGTCGATAGAGGTAGGGGTCAACTATCTTTTCTAATGTACACTACTATGATCACCACCCACACTGTCAAGACACAGCACTGAAAGTATCAAAATATACAGCAAGAAGTTCATTAAACAATCTGTGATAACTACAGATCATTCAGTGTCTACCATCACAGTATATTTCAAGACCCATCCAAAATAAATATTGTTTACAATGGGGTTAGAGGAAAAAATAACAGATTAAAGGCACATGCTGATGAAATAATTGTATTATAAAAATCTGACAACTGAATAAAACAAGACATATTTGAATGGGTTCTGTTTAAACCAGAAAATTAATGAAGTAATGTATATAAACAAACCATATTTGAAAACACTTTCAATGAAAAAGCAGAACATAAAAGCAACAAGTTAGGTGTAATTACAGTTTAAAGTTTTGCATAGTACCATTTCCAATAAACACTACCTTCTGTCATTCATCTAGATTAGATGAAAGACTTGAAGCAAACTTAGTCCATATGATGAATATACTGCCTAAACTCACTTTGAAAAGTAATAACAAATCCTAGTTAGTGGGCTATGAAAAGACAGTTACAACATAACTGTCTCATTTAATAAATATTTTTATACAATGTTTGCAAAAATCAATCTTAAGTCGTATTCATTCAATGAAAAAAATGTACCAATTTTTCCCTCTCTCTCTCTATGTATATGACACGCACCAAACTAACTAACTTTAATAAATTAAATCATAAATATAACAATAATATGAATGAACAATGCTTAGTAACTAATGTAATAATAATAATAGTTTATAAGCTTAATAATTTTCACACTGACTAGAATCCTTGCAAGTCTTCAAAATGAGTTTATACTAAGTAACAGGGGCATTACATGTAGTTGTGTAGCATCTCTAATGAGGTATACGATGATGTTAAACCATCAGGTTTTCAATATGAAATATATGGGTTACCAAACATCCATACAATAACTTAACTCCTATAATTAGAAATTAGCTGGTTTTATAGGAACTTTCTTGACACCTTTTGTTGGAAATGAATTTGTCAGTAAAAAATTATTTTGAATCTTCCAGTGAAGTAAAAGTTACAAGTTTAATGAACCAACCTGTTTCATGTTTTGACAACAAAGCCTTATCTACTAATTTACCTTTGTACAATTATATGTTGATTTACTTTTCAATTAGAACAAATATGTAAAAAGTCTAAACAAAGAAATACCGATTAAACTTTTGGAATTGGCAACAGTGAAGTCTGACTTCACATTTAATGGGAAAGTATACAATCAAGTTGAGGGAAATGCCACGAATTCATCAATGGCATTAAGTTTGGCAAATTTTTTCCTCTGTTTTCATGAACAAGATCGGTTATGAAAATATCCAGAAAAATTCAAACCTCTTCTCTATTGCAGATATGTTGATGACACATAAGGTTGTTTTATTTAGAAATAAAACAGGTTTCATCATTCCCAAATTATTTAAGTAAACAACAGCTTAATATTAAATTCACATTTGAAGAAAAGGTATTGAGGGCTGAATTTTAGATCCTTTGAGTCCCCCTTCCTAGGGTGATTCAAAACTGAGGTCCTATTCTTCGGGGCTCAAGGTTCTCATGCAAATTGCACATCCTCTAAATCTGGCAATGTAGGAGTCTCATCTACTTTTCTTGGATTTAAATATAAAGATGATGGAGTTACAATCTCTACTTCCCATTACCATAAACCCATCTGCACTGGCCTGTACTTTAATTTCAAAAGTTTTATGCAGTTCGTTTACAAGTGGAATTTAATCAACCTTTTAGTCTATAGAGCATATCTTGCAAGTGACTTACTAGGGTTCCATAAATAAACAGAAAACATGAAACTAGTGAAAAAAAAAAGATGATGATTTTCTCATCAACAGCAATATTAAAACCTTTCTCAACAAACTATAAAAACCACCAACAGTGAGTTTATGATTTGCCAAAACTTCCTTGTATATAACTTTTCCATATACAAGTTTGCACAGATAACATTAAAGAAAAAACTATAATGTATCCTTCAGCCAGCTTATAAACACATTAATTTTAAATTTATTATCCTCAAGTCAAGCTACATGGGCTCAACAGTCTACTGTTTATCCACATGGACAGAACAATTAAGGGCAGGTGTACAGAATTTATGAGATTCAAATACATTTCAATAATGACTGTGATGGGAAACAAATGTGTGAATGATTTGAATGTCCTGACCAGTGCAAATGATATAAAGGACTCATGACACTTAAACCTGCAATAAGTAACATTTATGGTGTTAAAACACATTAAAAACCAAGACGATCTCCTGAGTTTTAAAATATAAAACTATTTTCATTAATTACCAAAGTAAGTAAACTACTTCCAATTTGGTGTTTTAGCCAATACATAATTTGTTTGAAAAAACTAGAAGTCTGTCTATCATAAGTCTTCAATGCTTTAAATGGCTAGAAATTCCCACACCCTTCTTAGCTATCTTAAGTCTATTCATGTCAATATTAGTTTTGTCTAGAAAAAAGCTGTAAAGACAAACAATTGGAGATACCAGTGTATGTCACACCATTCTAATGTCAGGTGATAAAAAGGCATACTGGCAAAAATTAAAGGAACATACAAGTAACCTTCACTGGGGAAAAATGTATATATATATACGATAACAGGACCGACCTAGTAAAGTGGGTAAGTCCAGATAAACTGACAGATTCCTGTAATATATATGGATTCTGTTGAAATTGTACTTGTTTTCAAAGGGGAAGGAAAATTTTGGGTTTTATTAAAATATAAGTAGTGAACAACTAGAAGGCCTGCCTTTGCTAAAACTAGATATTTAATATTTTCAATTACGAGACAGAAGAACAACTTTATAATATGTGGCTATCATATAAATATATATTACAATGAAATTTAGTTTCATATTTAGTACAAGTACATGACAAACTACTTACTGCATAAAAGATTCATTACCACAATAAGCCAGGGGGACATGTTGTATAAAATTTAGTTTCATATTTAGTACAAGTACATGACAAACTACTTACTGTATAAAAGATTCATTACCACTATAAGCCAGGGGGATATGTTGTATAAAATTTAGTTTCATATTTAGTACAAGTGCATGACAAACTACTTACTGTATAAAAGATTCATTACCACAATAAGCCAGGGAGATATGTTATATAAAATTTAGTTTCATATTTAGTACAAGTACATGACAAACTACTTACTATATAAAAGATTCATTACCACAATAAGCCAGAGGGACATGTTATATAAAATTTAGTTTGTAAAATGTTTGGTACTTTGTTGCAATGATTGTTCAGATTTGCTCATGTGTTTTAACTGTAGTTAGTTTTTAGTCTTAGTATAACTGAAGAACTTTGCTACATTGTATCTAACAGGTTGTGCAACCAAAACTATAACACTGCATATCCAGTGCCAATGAGAGTGGGGTGCAGGGGGTACCTCGTACTCGGGCCCTGGAATCTTAGAAAATGTTTGCATATATTGAAGACTAGCATTCACATTTTGTGTGAGCCTACAGTTTTATATATCCGCAATTCATTGAAATTATGATCCATAATATTATGTAGTGTTGGGAAATGTAGAGGTAGAATGAATAACATTATTTGCTTTCATCACTGCATCAGTATGATTTAATGGGGGAGCCAGTCTGAGACGGGCCCACACCGCTTTTGTCTGCAAAGTATTGATGTACCCTTTAATGGGATATAATAATACCTAGATGTGTATGCATATTATATCAAATACTATGCTATGTGCTTTTTTTAGATGAAATACTGCCTATAAACGCAATGAAGAAAAAAGAAAATTTTGCCCTCGAGTCTCAAGTCAAAAACAGTTGCTGAACATGCAAATCAGCTGATGCGTGGCCACTCGTCTAAAGCCTATCACACACTGTGTCATAGGTCAAATGGTCTCGTCGGAAGGCGTCTGACCGACAATTTGTTGTGTCCTGTGCCATCACACACACTGAGTTTGAGCTAAGACTAACAATATTGAGGAGTCATTCACATTGCTCGGACGGTTTTGTGAAATATGCAAATTCCAGCCTCCATCGCAAACTACCACATTTACGCAACTGTCAATATTGTGGGAAATATAATGGGCAACATCAAAGACAATATGGAACATCATACCAGCAAACAGAAAAAGAAATTTAGGGTTCAGGAAAATGGGGGCAACACCCCTGGACACGTGCCTAATATTTAGATAATATGGGGGTCATAGTGTGTGCAGCCTTTCCTGTTTACGAGTATACTGCAGCCCACTGGCTTAGTGATGCTTACCCAGAGTCCGATTGATTATTTTGGCTTGACCATAATTTACTGACCCTTTTTATGGGATAAGTGATAACCAATATGTCAACTGTACAAAGATTATTTTTATAACATTACTACTACTGCTGCTGCTGCTACTACTACTACTACTATTACTATTAGTCTACTGCCACTGCTACCACTACTAGTACTACTACTAAATTATTAGTATATAATATTTTTTGTCTTATTGTTTTTTTTTCCTTTTTTCAGATATAAAAGTATAAATTAGAAACCATCTCTCCAAAATGTATTCTCACAAATCAGGAAACCTGAAAAGAAAGAATGAGAGGAAAATGAAAAAAGGGGTCAACAAATGCTCTTTCAATTTGGATTAAGTGTGGCTTCAAAATAATTTTCATTGAACTCACCTATAGAATTGGAGCAAGAAGAAACTGTTGGAAACCTCATCCCCAAATAAGGAACAGTTGACTTGGGTAATCATGCACAGGATTTTTATGAAGGGGCAGATGCAGAAAATAAAACACAGAAAGAAACAGACATACAGGCGCACGTGGAAGTGAACTTGGAAGACGAGAGGAGTAATAATAATAATGTAGGCCTTGGCATTGGATGTATCATAACCGAGTTCCCATCTCAAAAGGAAATAGAAATGTATGTTACCAATGGTCACATCCCTCTGCCTAAAACATTCCCAAAAGACACCTGCAATCAAGTTTTCCCAGAAAGCATACTGAAATTTCAAAGCACCAATGGAGAACTACATGTAAGAGACTGGCTTGTCTGGAGTCAACAGAAACAAGCATTATATTGCTTTCCATGTCGATTATTTTGGCACAAGACAGTCAAGACTAGCACTTCGGCATCTATATCTGCACTGGTATCTGCTGAAGGCTGGGAGAAACTTTCCTACAGTATCCCAAAACATGAAAAAGGCAATAGTCAAGAAAAAGGCATGAGAATGTTATCTAGCTTGGCGAGAACTAGAAAGGTGCCTGTTGTCTGAGACAGGAGTTGACACCATCTTAGAAGCATCAATCAAAATTGAAGCTGTGAAATGGTACAATATTTTAAAGTGCATGTTGTACTCTTCTTGGGAGAACGTGGTCTGGCATTTACTGGTTCATCCCATCAAATTGATGATTCAAACAATGGTAACTTCTTAGGACTCATTGAACTGCTCTCCATGTGGGACCCCATCCTTCAGGAACATGTGCTAAGTGTAGAGGAGTCACAGAAAAGGAGTGAGGGGCTTCAAGTTCATTATCTGTCCCCTGACTCACAAAATGAATTTATTGCAGAATGCTCGAATCATGTAAAACAACACATTTTGCTTGAGAGGCAATCTGCAAAGTACTTTGCAGTAATAGTAGATGCCACACCAGATTCCTCCCATATTTAACAAACAACATTTCTTTTGAGATACGTACTTTTAAAAGAAATGCAGTATGAGATTCAAGAAAGATTTGTCAACTTTGCAGATTGTAGCAACAAAAGAGGGGAACAAATTGCTCAATTGATAACTGATACATTGAAAGAACATGCTATTCCTCTCAGTGATTGTAGAGCTCAAGCCTATGATAATGTGGCAAATATGGCTGGAAAATATAACGGCACACAAGCAAAAATACAAGAACAATGTTCAACAGCAATTTTTGTGAAAATTTATGTGTGGAAATTTTTATGTGGAAATGATGCTGCTGAATGCACACCTGAAGCAATAACCTTTTTCGGAACAATTCAAACTGTGTACCACTTGTTCAGTTCCAGTCCTAAGAGGTGGGAATTACTACAAAACCATATTGGTTGTTCTCTTCATGGTATGTCTAAAACAAGATGGTCAGATCGTGTTGAATGTGTAAAGCCTTTTGCAGCTCACTTGCCTGGCATTAAATTAGCACTGGAAGACCTCCTAGAACTAAATTTGACAGCCAAAACAAGAAATGAAGTCGATGGAGTTTTATTATATGTGACATCTTTTGCCTGTGTGTTAATGTCACCTGTGTGGTACAAAATATTAGTGCTATAGATAATTACAACAAGGTCATCCAAGCCAGAGATGCCACACCGGATGTTGAAGTAACGAACATAGAAACTCTCCTCACAGATCTGACAAAACTCGAAACAACTAGAAATGCATGTGAAATGAAGCCAAATTGGTTGCGTCAAACCTAAAGATAGAAATAAAACTCTCCCATAGATGTGGTGGAGTTAGGTGCAAGAGGGCAAGGTCACATGATGACAGCACACCTGATGCTAACTTGGAGGAAATGAATGACACAGATGATACACCAGAAGAGGCCTACTTCAGAAAGTGTGTTTTACATTTTGGTAGACAATGTTATAGCAGGATTAACTGTCTGCTTCAATGCTGTTAAGCAGTTGGCTGAAAAATTTGATTTCTTGTGGAAATATCTCACCATGTCTGAAAGTGATGTGGAGAGAATTGCTTTATCTTTATCAGAGCAATATCCTGCTGACTTTAACGGTGATGATTTTGGAAAAGAAATGCAACATTTACCCTCAAGTACATAAAGCAAATTTTGGAAATGTACAGTTAAAGCCATTAGATCTGCTGAACGTGTTAACAGAGTACAGACTTGGTGACCTGTTTCCAAATGTTTGTGTTAGCTTAAGAATACTATTAACAATTCCAGCAACAGTAGCTTCTGCAGAGGGGTCATTTAGCAAACTCAAGCTGATTAAGAATTATTTAAGGTCTACAATATCTCACGAACATCTTGTGGATTTGGCCAAGCTAAGTATTGAATCAAACATTGCCAGAACAATTAATTTTCATGCTGTGATTCAACATTTTTCACAAAAAAAAAAGGCCAGGAAAGCTGTTTTTGTAAAGTAAATACTAAGACTATCTACCTTTTTTTCTACTGTTTTACTAAAAATTATGTCTTCTGATCTGCATTGCAACATAAAAGGATGTTTCAATGTGAATTCTTTCTCCTTATCTGTATTGTAGAATAAACAAAGATGTTCAAATGTGCTTTCTTCTCTCTGATCCTCTTTTATTTTATTTATATTTATCATGGAGGGAGTATAGGAGCATAAGGCCTCTAATGCAGAAAATCAACAGAGCACTCCATTCCACCCCCTCTCTCATCTTGCATACCCTTTTTGGCCTTACAGCTCATGGCATAAAACTGTAGTGGATAAAAACAGGATGATTAATGGAGAAGGGAAGGGGGCCCGAAAGAAACTTTGTACCCCCTGATAAAATCCCTTTCAGAGGCCCTGTGTATATCTATTTCAAAAATGTAACATGTAAACTAGTTAAAGTAGCATTCTCACTTATATAACAAAACAAGAATAAGGCCACTTCCCAAACGATAAAATTACTGTTCACAAAGATTAAAACTCAACCAAAATCAGGACTTGCTAATGAAAGACATGTATAGCATACAATTCAAACAGAAAGTTACTTCACGATTCCTTCTTCAGCTTTTTAAAACAAACTTAATTACTGCACTTCCATTCCTTGGTTTTTCAATTTCATAACCTTTAAATACTGTAGATGAAATTATTACATTATAAGTAAAAACTAAATACTGATTCTCAAGAAAAATAGGGGTTATTTTCACAAACAAAGTGGTTGTACGTGTTACAGTTATATGTTATTTTCCTTCCTACATTTTTTCTTGATTTATTGGATATTTCATGCATTTTTTACAATAAAAATCTTCCAAACATCATGGCTTACTCCTTCTTTGGTCCAGAGAACTTCTGTTTTTCATTAATGGCTCTCAATGACTTCTTCATGTGTGAATTCAGGTCTTTAAACTCCAGTAATGAATCAGCTATCAAAGTGTGAAACATGGAGGGCCATAGGTTTTTTAAAATTGCACGTTTTCTCAATGTTTCTTTCACAGCTGTTAGACTAGCTTGAACAAGATTTTCTTTTGCACTTGATTTGTTTGCAATTTCATTATTATGTGGCCTATAACACAGTGCAGTTTTCAGAAGTGCATCTGATAAAACTGGATTCTCAGGATGTTTTTGCAAAATATTAGGTGAGTAGCCCTTTTCCTTGATAAGAGCTTCTTTTACTTGTGGATCAGCCAAAAGGCTAGAAAGTTTATATTGTGGAAGGTAAGAAGATATCACCAACAACAGTCCACCAAACATTTTTTCGGCACATGACCTTTCCAAAGGAGTTACTAAAATGTTGTTAAGTATACGAAGTGACTGCCCGAGTCGATAAACAGTATAAAGTCTCCAGGTAACAAGTTCGGTGACAGAATTACCTTCTGGAGAAATAACCAGTGATTGTAAGTTAGAGACATGTACTAGAGCACTCAGTTGAGACAGACAGGTTATGTTAGCACAGTAAAAAATCAAACAAGTGACATAGGGAAACAAAGGTGCAAATTTTGTTAAGACTGATGCAATATCTTCAAAAAATATATAATTTAACCCCAATGTAGTAATATTTGAAACGGAATCAGAATTCCATGAATGATGCAGTGCTGCTTTTACTCCTCCAATACCATAAATTAATAGCTTTCCTTCAATCAGTTCTACTAAATGAGCTGGTTGAAAGTTTTCTATTTCTGATACATTTAATGAACATTTGTTGCTTTTACTCAAACATTTTTTCTGTAATGTTGATCTATGCAAGGTCCTTTTCCATAATTTTGTTTTTTTCTGAGAAACAAAGGTTTCATTAAGTTTCTTCTGCCTTCTTTTGTTATAGGTTTCAGTGTACTTATTAGGGTTGTGCAAAAAATGTGTTGCCACATCATCATCATCCTCGTCCTGGTCAGAGTCATACATTTGAGTTTTCTGTGCATTATTAAAATACTTAGGACTAGAGAGGTCAACAAATCCAGATTTTTGTTCTGTTATTAATAACTGGGTTTTTTTACCTTGCTTCAGTGCTGTTTCCCACTGTTGCTGTGCATTCTTTATTGCTTGCTCTCTAGCTTCTTTTATTTTGGCAAGTCTAAGAGTCTCTTGAGCTTTAAATTCTTCTCTTCTCACAAGAGCTATAGCTACCCTTTTTTCCTCATCCGTGATACGTTTGAAATCAAGAAAATTTAAATACATTAAACGACCCAAAATCAATGAACGATAATTAGGAATTTTTGTAAGAGGGCAACCATCGAAAGCAAGTTCATTTAGTGTGGTTATTTCCCTCAAACAATCAATTTGTTTACAATTTTCTAACTGATTATGAGAAAGAAAAAGTCTCTGAAGACTTTGAAGTTCATTGACTTCTTGCACTAAACTGATACTATTATTACTTAGGTTCAATTCCACTAACTTTTTTAATCCCTGCAGCTGTTTCATTTCTGCAAGATTATTTTCTGACAAGTTTAATATACGCAAGTTCTCAAGATGGCTAAGATTTGCAATTTCAGATATTTTATTACCACTTAGGTCAAGCACATCCAAATTTGTAAGATTGTCTAGACCCTCTATGTTTCTAATTTTATTCCTGCTTAACAGCAAAACCCTAAGACTAACCACATTTTGTAGGCCACTAATACATTCAATACAATTATCTGAAAGTTCCAAAAATACAAGATTTCTCATAGCAGCTAAATTAGTAATGTACTGTATTTTGTTATGTTGATAATTTAATAACTGAAGTTGGTTTTCATCTTCTAAAATAGGGCATTCTTTCAACCCTATATTGACAAGAACAAGTTTTTCTGGGTTTGCTTGATGTTCCTCTGGTGTTCTCTTGATCACTAATTCCCCCTGTAGATTCCTCTGCACAATCAACTTTGATTTGGAACTCGCAGTTTTCGAAGTGTAAGGACTTTTCTTTCCAAAATTATGTATATCTGAATTCAGCTGACCTTGAAACCATGGCAACGATTTAATCCCTGTTTCAGAACGAGGCCTATAACGTGTTAAAACTTTGTCAACAGAATCATTGTCAATATCTACATGACACCTAACACTAGATTCACACAAAGTCGGATCTTTTGGATCATGAGAACAGTACTTACTTTTCAACTTCAAGCCTTCATTTGAGGATGAATTATTATTCAAGAATGCATTATCATCATTAATGTTGCCGACAGTTGATATAAAGTCAAAAGATAATGGAGGAAGACCAGTTAACACTGGTGATTTTTTATTAGTAATACTCACTGATGTTGGCTTCTGGTCTAACCTCTTCTGCAAAGTAGTACGTTGTTCTACAGGCACTATGGACTGTTCTGTTGACTGAACAACTGAACGATTACTATATGAACTTTCACAGTTTTTTTTATCACCGTAAAAAGTATTAATGGCTGATTTTGGCCTGCTTTTTACTTCTTGTAAAATTGAGGTTGAAGTAACCATATAATTTTTTTTAGTATTAATAACCTTTTGCCGAACTGAAGCCTGCTTTCTGTCTTGAGCTGCGGTGTACTTTGAGTTTGAACTTGAAAACGAAGTCGCTGAAGGAACATTCGCAAGTCCAGCTACTTTTGTAATACTGAGACCTAAGTTTTCATACTGTATTGCTTCCTTCCTACATTTTTCGCCTCTGCGAATTTTATTAGAAATCTTTCTTTCACTTGTATACATTTGTTAGCTAATGCCTTACTACACAACGTCTATCAGTATTATTCTAAACATATTAGCGAAAGAACTTTAGCGCCACAAGCGGTAAATTATATTAAAACAAATTACATATGTTGTTTTACTTTTAGTAGTACAAACAATGTTGCCAGGTGCAGGGAAATTTCTCTTTTTAGGGGAATTTCGACCAATAAAGGGAAAAGGAAAATTTTTATGAATTTGATGTAAATCTAGGGAAAAAAATACTCTCATAAGTCGTAAATACAAATTTATAAGGATATAATTAATTACTCATTAAGGTGAATATTATAGCAGACACACATAGATACTAAATTTTATTATTAGAAACATCTGGCAACATTTAGCCAGACATAAGAACTACGCTATACAACTTGTATTATATATATTATATAGCGCCACGTTGGCACATGCGCCGTCGTTGACTTGTGATAATTGTCTTTATTATTAAGTGTAAGCCTAAATTTAAATATTATTGTGTTGTGTCTCTTATGCGTTTCATTAATAGTAATTATTTTTACTATATTTAGGTTCTTAAGCTGAATTAAGTATGGATTCCAGCAGGCCTAAGAGTGGAGAAAGTGAGTCTCCTCCTAAACAAAAACGTGTACTCTATCATCAAAAATATATTGACAAATAGGAAAGTGATCTTAAATTTAAAAAATGGATTAGTAGAAGTAATAAGGGCCCCCTGTATTTTCACTGTAAAGCTTGCAACATAGATAGTAAAACGGGAAAATCTGAATTAGAAAAGCATGCTGCTGGAATTAAACTTGTAAATTAAGTCTGTGAATTTGATAGAGAATGTACAAGCGGGCATAATAGGCGAAAAAGAATGGTAAAAAAAGGTGAAATAAAGCTCGCAGCATTCATAAGTGAGCACAATCTTCCATTCAGTGTTATCGATCATACGTCCTGACTCTGAGATTGCAAAGCAAATGAAATTTGGGAGAACGAAATGTACCTGTATTGTAAAAAAGTGTTAGGTAGTAAAATTCGTGAAAATTTGCATGACCACTTGAAAAATTCGTCATTTTCTCTCATTTTGATGAGTCAACATTTAGGAGCTGTATCAAATATTTAGCCCTTGTTGTCAGAGTTTTGACTAGTGTGGGTGTTCAAGATTCATTCTTAATATTAATACCTGTCGAAAATGTTATAGTTACTAATCTATAAGAGAAAATAACATCAGTAATGAATGCTTCAGATATATCATACAATGAAACTATGATTGGCTTTGCTGCAGATGGGGCTAGTGTTATGATGGGTTTGTTTTGTTTGAAGTTAAGCACAAAGCTACACAAAGGGCTATCTGTGCTCTGCCCACCATGGGTATTGAAACCCGGTTTTTAGCTTTGGAACTTCGCAGACATACCGCTGTGCCACTGACGGGCTGTTATGATGGGTAAAAACCATTCTCTTTCAAGGTTGCTCAAGGCTGATATACCTAATCTTTTTGTAATGAAATGCATATGCCACTCATTCCATCTTTGCGCATAATATGCATGTAAAACATTGTCTAGAGGTATTGAAGACATGGCTCGTGATATACATAATTATTTTCTTTCGCCTAAACAATCCCAAGCCTTGAAGGAATTTTAAGAGTTTGTCACTGTTAAGCCACATAAAATGTTGCTCTCAAGTTAGACACGTTGGTTGTCACTCAACAGTGTTGTCAAACGAATAGTTGATCAGCTGACACCACTGAAACTCTTTTTTTCTTACTCATGCATCTATGGAGGACCAACTACTAACTACAGAGTATTTTCAATAAACTGAATGACCCCTCAACTAAACTTTCTTAAATTTCTGGACTATGTTTTGCCTCTGTTTAACAATCTAAATCAGGAAATGCAATCTCAAGAACCCAAGATATATGTACTACACAGTAGGGTCTCCTCTGTTGTGTCTACATTAATAGAATGTTACTTAAAACAAGAATACTTAAAAATGATTCCAATATCATGTGCCAATTTTAAAGATCCAGCTAACTTTCGCCCACTTGAGGAAATATACCTGAGTGGCGGAATAACAGTTTCCCATCAGACTGAAGATAGATTTGATAAACAACGGCTTACAAACTTTAGACTGAAATGTCTAGATTTCTATATTGAAAGTATTTCTCAGATAACAAAAAGATTTCATTTGTTGAACACATTGTTCACAAACCTAAAATCAATGAACCCTGGAAGTATTTTTGAGAAAACTGTTGATTCTATTGCTCCATTGACATCCCATTTTCCGAACCTGGTACCATTGTCTGATATAAATGGTTTAAACAGTGAATGGCGCTTGCTATGAAATACAGAACTTAGCATGCTAAGTGACTTAAGTGTTACCCAGTTTTGGTCCTGTGTAAACAACATTAAGAAAGGAGACAATTTTCCATTACTTCCTTTACTTGGAAATTTTATGAACAAACTCCTGACTTTGCCTCACTCCATTGCATCAGTTGAGAGAGTGTTCTCACAAATTAACTTAATGAAAACCAAAACTAGAAATCAACTGACAACATCAACACTGTGGAATGCTTCATGCAAAAGAGGCATTTAAAAACACAAGTTGTTATGATTTAAAGGTTTGTCCATCTCATCTCAAGAGGATGACAGACCAAATCTACATGACAGAGGACTATAACCAGGCCATGCGAGTACTTGCTAAAAAATAAGTGTGCGCGCGCGTGAGTTATTATTGCCCTTTGCATTTTCTGGTGAATATACATGTCATTGCCTTTGTATTTCTAGCGGTTATATATTTATATAATGGGTAGGTGTTGGGGAAAATATTAGTAAAAAATGGAAATTTTTGGCCCAGTCTAAGGACATTCCTTTGAACAAACCTGACAACAGTGAGTACAAAGATAATCAATTACTAAATACAGTGATCAGTAAGTCGCATTGCTACCTTTCAACGATAAACACTGGAAGTTATAAGTGCAGTTTTTTCAAAAGCTCAGAATATGTAACAGTGCTTCAAATACAAAAATAATGCTCCATTAACAAACTACCGACACTGTTAAAAACACATTCACTTTACGTTTCTAGTGAGTAAGTGCATGCTATACTAAGCACTGCATGTAGGAATGAAAATTTAAAAATCATAAAGGTTTATTATTAGAACCTTTGTGATGTGGGCAAGTTTGCAACGTATATTTTCATGAGTCCACTTTTTACTAATTAAAAACCTTTTCATTTCGAAGATTCTCGCATATAATGTATATTCCTTTACTATTATTCTTTGGCATGCTACTCTAAACAGTCTCTATAATAGATGGCGCTAGTCTCTTTTATCAAGGAAGAAACTCCAACTCAAATTTTCTGTAAATCTGATTGTTGAATCTTGAGCTGAAGTGTTATAAATACTCAAGCTTATCACCAAGCCAATGGAGGACTACCGTAAATAGGTAATTTCTTTTCTCGCATCGTTCTTGTAGATGTTTTATTTCTCGCTTTACACTTAATTTTCCACTGTTTTGGAATTTTCAACGCATATTATACCTACGTTTGTTTTCTGGTATTTATGCTCTATGAAATGCTTACTAAGGTTATTCACATTCTAAGAAAGTATAAACACCTACTTCTCTTGCTTATACCAAAGTTGTATCCCCGGAAAATTAGTTCTATAGAAGTATGTGGAATATGCTCTTACCTATCGAACAATTTCACTCTCGCCAGTAAACGACTATAACACTTGTTTAGATCATGGCTGCTATTATTACTTACTGTGAACAATAATATAAAAATGACATAAAGATTCGATAAAATTTTTAAAGCAGTAAACAATTTTTTATTAAACATTATAATTATTTTGGTTTTTCTTTACTTCTTAAAATTTATATGTATAACTCAATGCTAAGCAAAATTTGCTTTCGAAATTAGAAGTAGAAAGTGCTGCCAAAACAAAATAGGCTTAAAATCACAGCAGGACAGAGGTTCATATTTTTATTTTTTATTATCAGCACCATAACAATTGCCTTATACAAGTTTACTATACAAAACATTGTTTGTTTAACGTTAGAAACGAAGACTTAAAATAAAAAGTCGTTTAAAAACTTACAACCATTTATAAATTTCAGAGGTTTTTAACAACAAATCTTAAAAATACTATTTTAACATTTTTGTAAAAATCTATTTGCTGTTGAGCCAAACAATGGGTAGTCTTTGCTATGACCAGCAAATGACCAAATTCCGAAATTAAATGTATAACTTGCAGCCCCGAGAACAATAAAAAATAAAAATGAAGTAATATTATGATGAATCAAACTCACTATGGCTTTATTAACAAGTCTATAAGCTTACCAGTCTATAAGCTAATTTCACTCCAGGAAAGTCATCTTCTGTCAGTACAACATAATAGTACTCAGAAGCGTCGCTAGGTGCTTAAAAGATTCGGGGCCATTCGGGGAAATTCTCGGCGTTTCAGTCATGATATCGATCATAGTTTTCTATTCTGATTTTTCAAGACACCAGCTGGAGATTCGGGGCACTATCAATTAGAATCGGGGCACGGGCCACGTGTGCCAGTGCCTAACGACGCCATCTTGGTCAATTCATCCGAAAAGTTATGGTTCATGATATTACATCCGTATTAAAAACAGCAAGTTCTACCTGTTTTGTGCTATTTATTTCGCTTTGATTTTATGAGGTTATATTACTTAGATTAGGATATAAAAGAGTAAGTTTTGTCAATTTTTAAATTTTGTACGGAAAACATTTATCTCGTTTTGTTTATACGTTACGTTTCTTTCATTTTATTGTTTTAGGGCTGCTCATTCTTCTTCAATAATCTACATTCGGTTTCTTTCTCTTTTTTTTAGGGCCGCTCGTACTTTTATAACAGTCTACACCAACCCGATGAAATCATGCAACCCTTGGTTGTTTAGCAGTAAACTTGAAGAGTTTATAACGCCAAAAATATGTGCTCTATAACCTCGGCTGGCATAGCACAGTTGGACCTTGTGTATTTTAGCGCTTAAACGCAAGTAATCAGAACTAAATAAAGCCCATTTTGTTGTTTTAA